ATGAAACAAGAGGAATCTGCATCTGAGATCAAGAATCTTCTTATGGCCCTTATTTCTAAGAAATCTTAGTGTCATTCTATTTATTTTTTTTGTTTGTTGTTTTGTTGAACCTCTGAATCTTTTATTAAATTTTTTTTTACGCTCTTCAACTATTTTTATATACTTTTTTATTATGCAAAAAAGGGGGAGAAAATGAGTATTTTGATCTAATCTCTGATTAACAGTTACGGGACTAAGTCTCAAACATTCTAACAAAATACAAGATTTCTTTCTATGTGTAAAAGAATTTTGCAGGTATCATTTGAACTCTGGAAGTTAAATTCAAATGAACATTATCTTCAAAAGATCGGATGAAGAAATCCCAGAAGAAAATTTCAAAGCTCTGATGAAAATTCTCAGGAAGTTTTTCTTATAGAAATATTTATTTCAAGGGGATATTCCTATCTCTTATTAAATTTTATTTCTTATCTGAACATTTTTTGTCATCATCGAAAAGGGGGAGATTGTTAGAACAAGATTGGTTCTAATCATATCTCAGAGTTTTGATGATAACAATAAATTATATTTTATGTAATTGATACTCTGATGAACGTATTTAATTGTTTCAGATAATGTTCTGACAGAAGCATTTTGATGTGCTGAGCTGAAAATAAATGAAGAAGTTATTTGATGAAAGAACTATTTGTTTTAGCGCAAGTGTTGATGCTAACTCTGGTAATATAATCATTTAAATACATATTCTAACGCTTAGCAAGTTTCTGTGTAAGCTATGTTTCAGAAGTTCTTTAAAAGCAAGCGCTGATCAGAAGTACTTAAGCAAAGCAAGCGTTGTTTAGAAGATATGCAAGCATGTTCTGATTCAAGACGTGAAGCTAAGTTCTGAAAGAATGTAAAAGCTAAACAAGTCTTGTCAAGCTTCAGGAAACATGCTCTTACAAGTGCCATTTGCTCATTTAATGCAAAGACGGCTACATGCACTCAAGTGTCTACGCTAGTTCATTGGAAAATGGAATAGTGCAAGGAAACACGCAAACATTTAATGCTCTCCATATTTGAAGGCAACAACGGTCATTTTGTTCTTACTATATATAGAAGAACATTTATTGCAAGCCAACAACTAAGAGAACTGAAAAAATTCAAAAGAAGCAAGAACTACGTGAAAATATTTTAGGCTCATAAATAATTTTCATACACTTTGTGCAATATTATTCTTAGTGAAAAATCACAGTTGTGATATAGCTTTCTTAGAAGAAAACTTTGTTTCACTATCTGTAAAGAATTAACTCTTGTAATTGTTCCTTGAGAGACCAAGTTTGGTCAGATTTCTCAAGTAGACTAGGACTAGTTTAAGTCTTAGTGGTGTGAGTCACTTTTAAGATTACTTGTGCATTTTTAGTCACAACAATTGTTGTATGATTGTAATCAGTTGATTATAGTGAATTAAGTCCTTGTTGAGAAAGGCGAAATCACCTTGACGGGTGGACTGGAGTAGTTTGAGTTCAAACGAACCAGGATAAAAATAACCTTGTCTTTCCATTATTGTTGAGCCTTGAAGAAAAATAAAAAGAGAAACTTATTCAACCCCCCACCCCCTTCTAAGTGTTTTCTCACCCTTCAATAATGGTCGCGTCCCTCAAATGTAGGGATACCTTAGCAATGACCCGCGATTCAAAATCATCATAAAGATCATCGTCCCTATTTGTCCCTCGAGTTACATACGAATTAATCTTATGACGATAGTCCCTTAGAAATGCTAAGGTATCTCTACTTGTTGCCTTCAGAGACCATTTCGTCCCTTCGAACGTCCCTTTACAAATCCAAAGACGGAGCTACCTACTCCTTAATAGTAGGATAGCGATGTCTAAAGGAAACGAAAACGAACATACTTTTTTCGAGTAGGTAGAAATCTTAAGTACTTGCTCAAAACAAAAACTCTTCACCCAAAAACTTTTCAAAAACAGTTTTCAAAACAACTTTGTCACACTCTTGAGGACCGATACAAGGGTTATCACGAAGTAAACAAAAACTTTTCAAAACAAGCACACACAAGTAATTTTAGAAAATGAGCAAGTACCTAAGAGCCCGTGGAAAACCATAGATAGAAAGGGTTCTAACACCTTCCCTTTCTATAATCTACCCTCGTACTCAGAAACTCTCGAAAAAAGGTTTTATTCTATTCTTTTTCCTTTACTTTGTTGGATGAAATAAAAGTCGGTGGCGACTCTTGCTTACCGCAACATTTACGAACAAAAAACGCAAACCAGTATTAACAGCCGGTTTTGCCACCGAATCACATGTCCCTTGTCCAAGAATTGGTCGTCGCTGAGCCGGGCGTCGGTTGAATCGGGGGATGCAATTTGTCCATATTAGAAGCCCAAGTTATCTTCGAGGTAAGGATGTTCCTGACTCCTATCGGTTTTGTGAGCAGAGGAAAGAATAGTCTTTCCGGGAAGATGAAGATCATCATGGTCGGCCATGATTAGTGAGAGGAATCTTGAAAAAGTTGCTTTGATCTTTAGGTTTCGAGGAAAAAAAATATGGGGAAAGCAGTTTCCCACAGACGGCGCTATTGATCTTATTGGTTGATCAGAATCTGTGAAGTGGCCAGAAGATGATCTGTAGTCGGACTATGATGTCGAGGAGAACAGGGGGTTGTACTTGTAAGGCACTCTAACGATCAAGTAAGAGTAGGAACAAGGAGATATAAGCAAAGTATTAGGTGATGAATAATGAATATTTGATACCTGAACCTCACAAGTGCAAGGGTTTATATAATGCCCATGACGTGTGGCCATTAGTTCCTGATTTCACGCCTAGATATACGGGTCTGTGAAATCAGGTAACTGTCAAGACTTGGTCAAATCGGGCAGATGTGCATGTAACTAGCTGTTGATTCCGAGGAGGGGGTCAGTTACGGGTATCTCTCTGGTCAGTTCCTAGTGGCCTGTACGACGTTGGTGTCGGGAAGGCTGAGAGGATGCTCATCGATCATCCTATGTCGGTGCTGGTTTGGGAGGGCAAATGATCGGTATTGCCCGACGGATAACGGGCGGTTCGGGTCATGGATGTGTGATCTGCACCAAAGGAAAGGTCTAGACTAGGCCCATTCAAAGTTGTCGGGCCAATCCAAAACATATTCTTTAAGGTTTTAGATAATATGTGATTTTAAAATTTTACTTTATATGACAATATTTGATTGATACATGTCATAAGGGGTAAATTACCCATAAATTTATAAAGAGTAGCCAAGAATTTGCCTAAAATTTATCGTTCTAACATATGGTTATTTTCATCAGATTAAGGAGTATGAGAAAACTTTTAGTAGTCGATATATTGCGATTGGTAGGGAAATGGAAGTGGTCTATTTCAAGTGGATGCCTCCGAAGGAGAATTGAGTTAAGTTGAACACTGATGGAGCTATTAAGGAGAATGGGAAAAATGGGTGTAGAGGAATTATCAGGGATTATCATGGGGGTCCTAAGGGAGGCTTTGCGAGAAATATTGGTTGTTGTAATGCTATGCATGTAGAGCTATGTGATATTGCAGAAGAATTACAAATTGTTAGGGGCAATTTCGAGGAAGCATTCTTTACTTGGGAGACACCTTTTGTGAGACACCTTTTGTGAGAGACACCACATATCCACCTAAAACTTTAAGGTGATAGGTGTGTGAGTTCTCTCACTTATAAATTATTCATCCTTTCCTTTTCTAATCAATGTGAGACTTCTTTCTCACACTTGATTCTCTACAATGCTCCCCCTCATGTGGAAGATCGCTGAAACCAAAGGCTCTGATACCACTATTAGGGGAAATTCCGAGGGAGCATTCTTTACTTAGGACACACCTTTTGTGAGAGACACCATATATCCATCTAAAACCTTAAGGCGATAGGTGTGTGGATTCTCTCACTTATAAAGTGTTCATTCCTCCATTTTCTAATCAATGTGAGACTTCTTCCTCACACTTGATTCTCAATAAAAATGACGAGAAGGATGAGTTTCTTGAAGGTAGATCTAAGCATTGATTCTAGTGTTATTGTTAATACATTGATTGTTATAAGTATAGGTGTTCGCGGTGCGGTTTGAGCGGTTTTGAAGCAAAAAATCACCCGAGCTGCAAGAGAAAAAATGTGCAGTTCAGTTTGGTTCGGTTGACTTTTAAAAATAAAACTGAACCAAACCAATCCAAACTAATGCGATTTGAATTGGTTCGATTTTTTACAAAAAAATTATTGAGCCATACATACATATATAAAGAAAAAAATATAATTTTGTGTTTAATCGTTCATACATTACCATAAAAAAATTTATAATTATCAAAATAAATTTATAATTTAATATATTAAATTGCGTATTATAATTTTATCTAAATATAAAAAATGATATACATAAGATTACATTCCTAAATAAATATTATACAAAGAATACGATAAAATATACACATAATACATGTTGATTTATCTAAAGAATTAAAGAAATATATATTGATTAATAAGATTTAATAACATAATACAGCGTAGTTCGATTTTCAAAATATAAACCGCAAATCAAACTAAACTATATAGTTTCATTAGAAAATAACACAAACACATCTGAACCAAACCGCGAGGTTGTAGTTGTGTTATCTATAATCTTTGCTACTTTGTTTTTTTTTTAAATGTATTATACGTTTGAAATTATTTAATAAAGTATAGTTTTAAATTTTATAAAAATTTGTGAAATTGATATACTTTATAATTATTTTTTTATTTGAGAATCAAATCTATACTTTATAAAAGAACATATGTGTCTATTACTATAACTACTATAATTTTTTTGGTGTATAAATATATTATTTATGTTATGACTTTTTGAAACTTATAGATTTATATCTTTTATTTATTTATTTTAAAAAAATTATAATAATAGACACCACTATTTTTAATTTATTTTTTAAAAACTAGATTGGATTAAAGAATAAGAAAATAAATTTCATATACTCCTAACGAACCCGTTCCTTGTGGCACACACAGACCACAACAGAAGCTTCTTCTGCTTCTTTTTCTTTGTTTTGTTCTTCTCTCAACAAATTCAAATTCATTCTTTCTCTGCAAAATTTCACAAATTCAAATTTCACAGTTTTCTCATTCTGCGTTTTCCGATAATCGCTTCGGAGATCGAAACCGACGGTGAATTCTTCCGCCTTTTCGTTTTCTCCGAGTTTTTCGCAAGGGATAATATAAAACCGATCAGTTTTTGGGTTTCGTTGTTTTGTTTCTTCATTGTTCGATTTCAGGGGTTTTTGCATTAGGTTTAGGGATTCGAGGTTCCAGATTTGTGACGTTTGGATTGTTTTTGCACCAGGAGGTTTTAGAGGACTCGAATTGCGAGAATCTTGATAACAACATTGGTTTGATATTTGAAATTAGGGTTTTCTGATGAACCAGAATCATCGTTTCGGACTGTTAGAACGATATGTCGATTAAGCGTACTACGAATATTGAAATGCCGAAATTAAAACGGTGTAAATTGGAGGAACCTGATGGTGTAGGTCATGGAGGATGTTCTGGGATTGAGAAGAAGCATAGGGTGAATGAGTTTTACTCTTTGGGTGACGCTGAGGATTTCAGCAGTGGTTCGGCTTCTTGGAATAGTGAAGTTTCGCATTCTGCATGTGATGCTGGTGGTGAGGTTGAGTTTAATTCAAGTTCTGTGTCTCGGCCCCCGTTATTGCGGTCCTCACGTGGCCGCCTTCAGACGCTTCCGTCGAGGTTTAATGATTCTGTGGTTCTTGATACATGGAAGAATCGTGGAATGAAAACGGAGGATGGAGATGGGGATGGAGATTCCAGCTTTGATGATGATAAGAGTTTTGTTGAGAATGATCAAGTTAAGTATAGTGATGGGAATTGTTTGAAGAATTCGGTGTTTTTTCCATTTGCTGAAATGAAGGTAGATGAAAGGGAGGGTGGTAATTTGTCTAGTGTGGGTAGAAAGAAGATGAAGACTGATAGTAATGCTTCTGGTTCTGGTCTTAGTTTTGAGGATGTAGAGCAAAAGAATAATGGGAATGATGGAAAGAGGAGAGAGGTTTATAGGCCAGAGGATTTTGCTCTTGGTGATATTGTTTGGGCCAAATGTGGGAAGAGATATCCGGCTTGGCCGGCTGTGGTGATTGATCCCCTATTAGAGGCTCCTAAATCCGTCTTGGACTGTTGTGTTCCTTATGCAATATGTGTGATGTTTTTTGGTTATTCAAAAAATGGAACTCAAAGGGTAATTCTTTTTATGAGGGTCTTGTTTATTTATCATTGTAAATTTGAGTTTTTGATTTATTTTTTTGGTGTTGAACTCTAAAAGAATAATGAATTGGCAGGATTATGCATGGGTGAAACAGGGTATGATATTCCCCTTCTCTGAGTTCTTGAACAGGTGTGTATGGTTAGAGGGCAGTAGCTGCAATTGCTTATGTTGGAATATTGGAGATTTAATCAGTATTTTTTAAAATCTTTGTCCAGATTTCAGGGGCAGACCCAGTTGTTCAAGTGCAAACCAAGTGACTTTCGCATGGCCGTGGAGGAGGCAAAGTTGACAAAAGATGGTATTCTGGAATCACATTTGCGAGCGGAGGAATTGTCTAATGTAGAAGCTTATCCTGATAGAGTTGAAGAGGTCATAATTTCAAATATTGATCAGGAATATTACTGCCAGGACCAGGTGAAATTAATTTTTTACTCATATTTTGCATCAGCTGATTAGATAAGCGCATTTATAAACTGTTTTTGCATAAGGGGTATTTAGTCAAGCATCAGCTGATTAGATAAGCGCATTTATAAACTGTTTTTGCATAAGGGGTATGTAGTCAAGGAAGGACTTCGGGATGTCTATTTATTTGTCTATACATTTTTAGTTCACTTGAGTAGTTTTTACTCATATTTTTTTGTAACAAACTAGTGAAATATACGTATCTATTGTAGTATTAATTTTAGCAATGAATAATACTCCCTCCGTTCCTTTTTAATTGTCATTTTTGTGAATTTTTTTTTTTTTGGTTCTTTTTAATTGTCACTTTTAAATTTCAAAGTAGTGTTAGTGATAGTTTTGTCAAAATTACCCCTAATCATTTAATATAGAGAGAGAAAAAGTAAGTTAAAATAAAAAAAATTAAGGGTATTATAGGTAAAAGAAAAATTATTGTTTAAAAAGTAACAACAATCATTAGTTTTATTGGTATGTATAAAAAGTCAAAAAGTGACAATTAAAAAGGAACGGAGGGAGTAATTGAAAAACATTAATTAATAGACAACATGATCAATTGAAATTTTAAAAAACATTCAGAAGTTACCCTAATTTTAATTATAAAAAACATGAAAACCAGAACTGTTAAACCTGCTTCAAAGATAACATGAGATGATTAAATACAATATATAAATTATGTATAATTATATGTTTAGGGTTTAGGGTTCAGAATTCTGTGTGCAATATACATAAATCGTGGGATTTTATGATTCAAATCAGGATTTTAACTACCATGCAAATAGCGGCTATAACATAGTGAAATTTTGAACGAACCTCTTTTTGTAATAAGATTTGTGATTTAGTTCAAAGCGTTGACAAATACCTGCTTTAGCGTTACAAAATTTGAACTGGGTAAATTTTGGCCCCATTATTCTGTACGCATTATGTTTTCGCATGTTTTTTTAGTTTTTCATGTCCATAATACAACAATAACCAAGCCTTATCCCACTAAATGGGGTCAGCTGCATGGATCAAACTACACCATAATGTTCTATCAAAAACCATGTTTCTATTTAACTCTCTAATCTCAAGATCTTCCTTAATAGTTTATCTTAAAGTTTTTTTAGGTCTTCTTCTACCTGTAGTTGTTTGACTACTCTCCATTTGATCTACTTTCCTTACTACAAAATCCACATGTCTTCTCTCTATCCATCACCTAAGCCTATTTTTCACCATCTTTTTTTTATTTTTTATTATAGATGCTACCCTAACATTCTCTCTAATACTGTCATTTTCAATCTTATCTTGTTTAGTCTTACCACTCGTCCAATGCAACATCTTCATCTTTGCTACACTTAGTTTATGTTGGTGTTGGTTCTTTACCCCCTAGCATTTTGTCCTTTACAAAATTGTCGGTCTTAAAACTCTCCGATAAAATTTTTCCTTCAATACTTTCGGGTCACATAAAACACATGAGGCCTCCTCCATTTCAACCACTCAGCTTGAATTTGATGGTTTATTTCTCCTTCTATTTCTCCATCATTTTGTACTATGGACCCAATGGACAATGCAAAATTAAAAAGACTAATAATTGTATGCATCTACATCTGGTATCTATTACTCCAAATTTCCAAAGTATTCAACCGAACAAAAGACAGTGTGATCTCAGTCTTTTCTGTCCCAACATGTATCATAATCTTGAAACAAATAGGTTTATAGCCAAATTAAAATCGTAAACTGACAGGTCCATTTGTCTGAGCTTTATAAATTCTATTTCTAACAAGTGTAGGATATGAGTTTATTGATAAAACTAGTTGAAACAGGGATGTAACACTTCTACTGTTCCAGTTGCTACGGACCTGTATATTTTTTTATCTACAAATATTTATGATCTTGGATGAGATTGACATTGACTTCAAATTGTTCTTCTCCTGTCTTTACAATTCTCTCCGAATATCTTTATGCAAAATTCCAATAGTCCATACTGAAATTTGGATTGTAAGTCTTTTGCTGTGTTCTTGTTAGTTTTGTATGTTGCTTTGTCCAGGAACTCTGCTGAAAAGAAGATTTGGATTAGAGTTAACTGTATAAAATTGTATCTCCATCAACTCTGGTTATTTGAAATGTTTCTATCCACTGAATATATTGTGCAGGATACTAGATGTTGTGACAGCTGTCGTTTGATGTTGCCATGCAAAACCATGAAGAAGGTTAAGGGTTCAAGTTATGCACCACAATTTCATTGCAAACACTGTTCTAAGGTTATACATAATGGCTTATTTTAGTGCTTCAAAATTTTCAGTAAATAATTTCAAAATGGATGGATGATTTGAAAAAAATTATATTCTGCTCTTACAGTTACGAAAATCAAAACAATATTGTGGAATTTGCAAAAAGATTTGGCACCATTCTGATGGTGGGAATTGGGTGAGATTGTCTGTTTTGTTAATTTAGTTTCTTTCCCAATGTTTATTTAAATATACTTTTGATACAATAAATTCAAAATTTTGATATCTTTTGGGAACTCTTTGAATCAGGTATGTTGTGATGGTTGCAATGTATGGGTGCATGCTGAGTGTGACAAAATTTCTACCGAACATTTCAAGGTGCCGTGTTGTGGTTGATATGGCACTATATATTGATTTCACAATGATTGCTTTTAAAAAACTATGTTGGCTCACAAAGAGGTTGAAACTAAATACAAATACCCGGCTTCTGGTTGCAGGATCTGGAAAATACCGATTACTATTGTCCAGATTGCAAGAAAAGTATCAATTGTAAACTACCAGAATCAACAGCATACGCGTCAAAAATCAAGTACATATTATTAATCATCCATTGCTGTTTTTTCCCTTCTAATTTGGAGTATTCGGCATTTTATTTTATACTTTGAATCTTACGATGTGATATCTTTTGAGGCAGATCAGTGGAGTATAACCAAAATGGCGTGGTTCCTGAGAAGTTAATGGTGGTGTGCAATGGAATGGAAGGAATTTACTTCCCAAAGCTTCATTTGTAAGCCATTAGCCCTTCTTGGATATTATGGGATTGATAATCCAATTTAAATGTATAAAATTGAATAAGTATGTTTATATTATCTCCTATCTAATTCCATATTTCTTGAGGTGCTCTTATTTCATTTTATCATTTTTATCTTTTCTTTTGTCCCCTGGAATTTCCTCTGTGTGTGTGTGTGTGTGTGTATATATATATATATATATATATATATATATATATATATATTCTGTTTTCTATAATGCATATGAGTCTGTTTTCTTTATGATTTCCCATTTAACTATTACATTCGCACATATCCAGAGTTATTTGAGAAATAAACTAAAACCAATCTGGATTTGTCTACAAATCTGACTATGATCTTTACCATAAAGAAGTTTGTTGTGAATACATATAATTTCTCTCTAGAAGACTTCCATTGAGCTGCTTGTGATTTCATTTTTCAGAATTATGTGCAAGTGTGTCTCTTGTGATTCAAAGAAGCGGACACCCAGTGAATGGGAACGACATACTGGAAGCAGAGCCAAAAAATGGAAATACAGTGTGAAAGTGAAAAGCACAATGCTACCACTTGAAAAATGGGTTTGTATTATTTCTGTCTATATCAGACTCATGGCAAATATATGTTGGTTTCTGCTTGTGCTGGTTTTGAATTAATGGTCAAGGGATGTGAAGGATGTGGTTATTATTGTGCCTTTCTTCTTTATTATTATGAGGTGCTTTTTTCTTATTTTTGACTCAACATAAACTATAGATCACGGAGCACATTTCACAAGATGGAGTTCCCCAGGAATTAAATCAGCAGCAGGTGCTTGCTTTTTTGCAAGGTAAGTATTCATTTCATTTAACTCTTACATACCAAAGCCTTGATATCTTCCTTTTTACCATGCCTTATGAAACATTCTGTTGCATGTTTTCTCTTGAATATATCTGAAGGCATATATTTATTTACTTTTACTTATTGTGGCAGAGAAGTATGAGCCAGTTCGTGCAAAATGGACGACAGAAAGATGTGCTGTTTGTAGATGGGTTGAAGATTGGGAAGATAACAAATTTATCATCTGTAACAGGTGTTTCAATTATTGTTGATGATCTTTACCCTTTAGCTGTAGAATTATTTTGTATGATTTACATTTTTTTTTAGATTTATGAGGTTTTAAAGGCGGTGATCGTCAATTATGTATGTTTTCATGTTTATTATGCAGGTGCCAAATAGCCGTACACCAAGAATGCTATGGTGCAAAGCATGTTCAGGATTTTACTTCTTGGGTTTGTAGAGTGTGTGAAACTCCTGACGTTGAAAGAGAATGTTGCCTCTGTCCAGTAAAAGGCACGTCAATCTAGTATTTTGGGCAATCTGAACTCTTTTTGTTCTTATGTCTTTATCCTATGATATTAAGTTTTTATTACAGTAGCAAATGGTGGATCCTGCACACTGAGATGGGAAAGAAGGGCTTTTTATTCACTTAATGGCTTGAATTTCTATTTTTCAAATAGTTTGCTTTACTTTGGTGGATGATCAATACCTAATATAACCATTTTTTTTCTCATTTTCACGAAATTAAGAAGAATCCTTTAAACGCCTGATGCAAATAATTGAAGTTATATAAAAGTCTTGACTTATGAATTTTTCTATTGGCCATTTCATGTTTTGTGCTTCTTGTATTTTAGCTTCCATGATCATTTATGTGATTAATTGCTAATTTGATTTTGCTATTTATGGAAAAATGATTTGCAGGTGGTGCTCTGAAGTCAACTGATGTCGAGATGTTGTGGGTTCATGTAACATGCGCTTGGTTTCAACGTGAAGTTGTTTTCAAAAACCCTTTGGTCATGGAACCTGCCCTTGGAATTCTTAGAATTCCTCCTAATTCCTTTGTGAAGGTGAGACGACAGGCTATAAGCTGATTTTATCATTTGTTAACAACTGACTTCAGCTATAATATTGCCCAGAATGCATGCTGGATAATTCTAAATTTACAAATGCATTGACCTGTGCAGTGCACAAGATTAATTTTAGATAGAGTAATATTTTCAATTATTTCACACTTTTATAAGTAAACAATTAATAGGTTAATAATAACTGTGAACTTTGAAGCTAAATATTATGTAGGAAAGTAAACTAAAAAAAATCTGGACGCAAACCAAATATAGAGAGAATGTATCAGTTAGAAGTCACACAAAAAGGTGAAAAATACAATCAGTTATATTCCAAATGCATACTGGATGGTTTTAATTTTTATTTGGCTGATTCCAGAATCTACCAGAATGCTTAATGGGCATAGCGTTCTGTTTTTTTTATATATCTGAAGTCAATATTTACACAAATTGTACTGTACTTATGATATTCAAACAAAATGTATTATTTCTTATTTATATTAAACACTAAATTAACTATGTATAGTCTTCCATCTTCAGTAATATTAGTCGCGGTTGTACTTAGAAACTTATGTAAATGTTTCTTGTCCACTGTGATTGCAGACTTGCGTAATTTGTAAACAAAGTCATGGTTCTTGTACAAGTTGTTGCAAGTGTGCGACTTATTTTCATGTAATGTGCGCATCAAGAGCTGGGTATACCATGGAAGTAAGTTTCATGTTTCTTTTGAGTTGACTAGGTTGATCACAGATGTTTACTTTTACTTGATTTGTCCTCCTCCTCTGGTTTCCTCTCTTTCTTTTGGAGGAATGGTGCATCCTCTGCGGTTTCATTCTGATTACTTAATTTCTATATATTTGAATTTATTCGTGTGCGGATTACAAGAGCTTGGGAAATATGCTAATATTGTTTAAACATACAGTTGCATTCCAGGGTGAAGAATGGGATTCAAATAACAAAGAAGTTAATTTACTGTGCAGTTCATAGGTTTGTGCTCTAGTGATCCGATTAGATAAACTGCTATCTTCCATTTTGTTAATGATGTTTAATATGCTAATTCATTATCAGAGTCCCAAGTCCAGATTCTGTACTGGTTGCACATTCTTCCCTGGGGATTTTCTCGCCTAGAACTTCGATTCAAAATCAAAAGGGATACTTCCGGGGATCGAGGTTGGTTTCATCAAAGAATATAGAGTTCAATCAATGTTCAACTTCAACCACTGAAAATGATAGGGTTGAGCCATTTTCTACTGCCAGATGCCGTGTACACCGAAGTTCTCCAATTAAGGTGATGATCTAAACATATAATTATGGTCCTTGTAGTGTATTGACTGCCCTATTCATTTGCTCTTATTATGTTTGTAATTTTTGGAGAAGAAATGGTAATTTAACTTTTCTTATTCATTCGACGATAAACAAGTATGCAATATTTATGAAAAGTTAGTTAGAAGAATACCTATGTTGCACAAACACAATACGGGTATCAAATACGACACATTTTTATTACAATGAATCTGTTATTCATCATTCTTTAAAAATTATAGTATACAATAGATAAATGATATGTATATAAAGTTATACAAATTACAATATTGAAGTAGATATATCTAGGTTGTCAACCGCACCTGTGCAATGTGGAACATTGGCTAGCCGCCACTTGTAGTAGGCTAGGTGTGTCGAACAATAAGGGTGCATGAGGTGTGCTGGCTCCACTGCTAAGTCTCAATTTTTATCTTTTCAATTTGGTCTCTTTACCACATTTTCTCCCATATTGCCAGAGAGCCGATGTGCCAATAATTCACTTGCTGAGAGGACCCAGCCTTCATTCTATAAGTGAAATAACTCGATTGAACAATTATAAGGTAATCCTCATGCTCAACATGATATATGTTTGACTTCTTACTTTTGCAATAAATAACCTGGTCTTGCTAAGTTGTGACTATATTATGTGAAAGGGTAATGTTAATTTGGTATCTTATAATATTGATTTGTGATAGGATGCTAAAGTATTTACTTCTTTCAAGGAACGTCTTCACCATCTGCAGGTATTACATATATTTCCATTTGAAACATTAATGACTTGAATTGCTTATCTCAATTTTTTAAATTTAAAATCACGTCTTTTCTTTTTTAATTTGAAGTAAATTATTTAACATTTTGTATCAGAAAACTGAAAAACTTAGAATTTGCTTCGGAAAATCGGGTATTCATGGATGGGGTCTTTTTGCTCGAAGAGATATACAAGAAGGAGATATGGTAACTTACTATGTACTGTTTTAATATGGGTTGCTGCAATTTCTTCTAAAGACAAAGTTTACACTTGTTATGTTTGTCTGCAGGTTGTTGAGTATCGTGGTGAGCACGTAAGGCGTAGTATTGCCGATCTGAGGGAAGCAAAATATCGTTCAGAAGGCAAAGATTGCTATGTGAGCCTCTTGCTTAAGATTGATTGTTTGTAATACCTGGCTGTAGTCACGCCCGCTTTATTTTGTTAAACATAATAAAGCCTATAATAGTCGTTCAAAGAAACATTGTTTCATTTGTGCTCTTTTAAGTCCTATATTTGGTTTAAATGCCTGATTGATGATAACAACTGAAAATTTATTCACTGCTATTCATAACACTAACGAACATAAATTATGCAGTTGTTCAAGATCAGTGAGGAAGTAGTCATTGATGCAACACACAGGGGAAATATAGCACGTTTAATAAACCACTCTGTAAGTTGTTAGTGGACTCTACTGTAACTTTATGCCTCTTGTTTATGTTGTTGTAGTGTGGGTTTTTATGAAAGAGTAATTCAAAATCCTATGACTTGAGCACAATTGTTCTGTATATGATACCCATCATGTGATTTTATGTAAGAGATATTACAATAGCAAAAGAAAAATAGCATGTACTAATGTTCAATCTGATTTGCTGCAGTGCATGCCAAACTGCTATGCAAGGATTTTGAGTTTGGGTGATCAAGGGAGCCGGATTGTTCTTATTGCCAAAACCAATGTTTCTGCTGGTCAAGAACTAACGTACGTTTCACCCGGGACTAGTGTTTGCGTATCTTCCATTTTGTGCTCTCACATCTCCAAGCTATTGGGGAATATGGTATTCTTGATGAACTTATTTTTGTCTGATGTTGCAACAGGTATGATTACTTGTTCGATCCAGATGAGCAGGAAGAATTGAAAGTTCCCTGCCTTTGCAAAGCACTCAATTGTAGAAAATTTATGAACTAGGTTAAGCATTTTTGTTCCTTGAGCAATTGTAGTCTTCTAACCGTAGGGTAAAGATTTGTCCATTGAGCTTATTATTTTTTACCAGTTTGGTATAATTTGTATATAATCTTTATATATATAATAAAATAGGAAACTTCTGAGCAAATGGGCTGGAGGCATTTTTGTAACTTACACATCTTTTCTGGTTCCTCTATATTCTCCTAATTCTTTTGACATTTGGAAGAAATTTACGTTGAAGACAAAAGGCATATAGGAGAACATAGATATTACTCGGTGCTTTTCTTGGTCTGCATACAGTGCTTTTTTCAGTGGTTCTCTTAAGATTTGATTCGATATTTTTCAAAATGAAATCAATATCTGGCCGGGATTTATACTTGAGTGTTTTATTTTTGGAGTGGTGTAACAAAACTACAATTAAAGAATGCTTAGTTTTTTAATCATTAGTGTACTTACTGCCTGTTTGGATTGGTGCTGGACAAAATTAATTTTGAGATAATTAAATTTGGTAGAATTGATTTTAATAAAATTGAGTTTAGTAGAACTAATTTATGTTTGAATATATTTTATGTAAAAGTGCGTTGAACAACAAACTTAAGTGTAAAAATTATGTTTAAATTTAGAAGTTATAAATTTTAACTTCAAGTAAAATTAACTTTAGAGGTAGAATCAATTTTATTTTAGAAGAATTAAATATTTTAAAATCATTCTAAAATCAATTTTATAACTCTAAAATTATCTTTTGACTATTCCAAAAACTAAACTAAACACGCCGTTATTAGAATTGGATTTTACTTATTTGTATTGGAGGTGTGATATTTGAACATCCGATTTTCAACACTATACATATAAAATAATTTTGAATTTAACTAAAGAAGTGAGAGATATTTATGTTGGAGGTGTGATATTTGAACATCCGATTTTCAACATTATACATATAAAATAATTTTGAATTTAATTAAAGAAGTGAGAGATATTTGTATTGGAGGTGTGATATTTGAACATCTGATTTTTAACACTATATATATAAAATAGAATAATGTTATTTAGTACGAAATATTTTAGAGAAGAAATATAAGAATACACACATATTATTATTTTAGAGACGAATTTTAAATTGATTTTAATTTTAATCTCCTTTTTAATAAAGATCATAGAGTGATGGTGATATTTAATGGTGGAAATTTATTCTTACATTTTTTATTTTAATATTTTCTTACTGATGAGTATTTTCTTATAAAATAACTTTGAATTTAACAAGAAGTGAGAGAAATAAATAAAAAACCCACAACCGTATATGAATACTGTGTGGGACATATTTTGAGATGTCAAAATAATATTTCTCCTTGTACTATTATAATACCCAAGAAATCAACAAATGAAAAGTTTGTGCTGAAAAAAATAATGATAAGTTTTTAATAAAATCAATGCACTTAGAACACAAGTATTGATAATGTCAATGAGAATGAAAGAGGACATAATTGATGTTTTAAGACTATGTTTGGAGTATTTAATTTAGCACTTAAAAAATTAAACTTTTCACCTCCTATATTTTTTGAACCAAATTTTTAGTACGATGTTGAAAAGTTCAGTATATATGGAATTTTTTAGTAAAATATAATTTTCTTGGAATTTCAAAATTTAGTTTTTTATCGGAAATTTAGTTGAAGAATGAAATTTTTGGTATTGTATTGACTAAATTTTTTTTAACGATCAAGATTTTACTATCAATTTTGTAAGGTTATTATTTCACCAACAATTTTGTGTGGTCTAGAATGAATTCAAAGTTGTATAAATAAGGACATATGTTATAGAGAAAGACATCTAAAAAAATGTCTCTTCCTCGATTTCTAATTAAAGCAGAAGTGTATTTCACCGGAAACAATCCTCCTGTTGAGTTCAAGCTTTCGGAAGACGCCATATTTCTCGCTAACTTGACAGAGAAGTTGAATGAATTGCTGCATGATGCTGATAATAGAAAGGTGAGAAAGATCGAATTTTGTGAAGATTGGATTGATAGTAATGGAAGGGTGAAATACAACCTGATTGAGTTGAAGACCGATGAAGACGTGACAACCATGTAGAAGTCATTTCGTCGTAGGATAACTAATGGATTGGTCGAGTTTGATGCGCAAATTTCAAGATTTATTGACGACATAATCATGATGCTAAAACGTCCATAATCATCTAGTAATACCTTGGTTTTCATGTTTAGTTATTTTTAATTTATGTTTGTTGTACTATTTTGTGTTATGTTCATCTTCGAATCGACAAAACATGTAACATCCAAAATATTATGCAATAAAAACTACTATGATAAGTAATTTGAGTCACAAAATATACAAAAAATAACACTATCAAATAAAAATCTAAATAGGCCTCCCATAAGCTATGTGTGTTAGCCGAGATAATCCTATAAAAACCTCACCATCAGAGTTTACCAAACCCATGAGGTTATCCATAATAACAACGATCAATTGGAGGGGTTCCTGGTCATCTGTGCTAGGTGGAGGTGGTGGCGGCGACACGTCGTCAGCCTGTACCTCAGCCACAAAAACCCCAACATCGAAAGACTCTACAGTAGGTGGTATGATGCATGAGTGTGATATAGTGAAATATCACTCCAAGTAACCATCCTCACACTGCAAAGGATGTTGAACCTTCCTCACGCTAGCCTTAATGGCACGAACAGAACTGATGATGTTACTCTAAAATCATTTGTCAATGTCCTCCATCTGGAGCCTCTAGAACTAGTCGAGGGATGCCCTGGACATAACCATACTATTGCAGACACCTCTCATACAAATTTCTAGCTACCAAGATCTTCCACCTCATATGACCTGAATATAAGGAAGAGTCATCAACAACAACCTCAAGAACCTCCTCAACAACAACCTCCTCAAGAGGTACCTTTCAGCAATAACAACCTCATCAAGAGGTACCTCATCAGCAACAGGTACCTCCACAACAACAGGTACCGCCACAGGAGCAGTTACCTCCATGATAGCATAAACTCTAGTAGCTCGACGTTGGAGTGTGCGGAACTGGCCATGCTCATGCCCAGCCATTCGTTTCCAATGAGAACTTGTTGAAGCATCTCGACCAACTCGTAGCTGGGAAGCCTCTGCCTCAATAGCCCTGACCCGAACTTCCTGTCTATCGATCAATCTGCCTCCAGTGGACCTGTCCTTTCCCCTGATCCTCATTGAAGAAAAAAAAAAGCAAAAATAATAAAAACTAGTGAAAGAAGGTACCATAAATTTTGAAAATTTTCAAAAATATTTGAATTATTAAAAAATTTGAAATTTCTGATAATATAACCTTAAAAAATTACGGAATTTTTAAAATTTTTGATAAGAAATGTCGAAATTTTCGATAATTTCTCTTGAAAATTCTGTGAAAATCTTCTGTAAATTCTTTTTTATGATATTTTATTTATTTTTTTGAAGAATTTTTAATATGAACATGAAATCTTTGATATTGCCCTGGAGATTTAAAATTTTCGGTTGGTGTACGTAAATTTAGAAAATGATAAAAATTTTGAATAGAATTATTATAGTCTTTTTCTTCAATTGGAGAGGTGCCATGATCAACTCCGAAGGTGGTAACTTAAATACTTTGGATTCTCTCAAATAAGATTTTCACTAATGGCCGTAGAATGATAATCACCTCTGTTCAAATTTATTTGTAACGATTTGATTAAGATTTTCATTAAGAAGTGACATTCTTCTCCATTCAAATTTATTTGTAATAGTTTGATTAATATGAAATGAAATATCAATGACTTTTCTTTATAAATTGTTATGGACATAGTATGTGAGATGGCCTTTTCAAAACCAATGTTATAATTCATGAGAAAATTTTATCCAATGGTCCAACAACTATTCTCTCCCTCTTACAATTTATTCAATTTAATTAAAATACCTTTAAATAAATAATTTATGTTTGAAAAAAAATTACATTTTAGATAACTTTTAAAAAATTATCTGAAAAGTTTAAAACAAAATGAGTTTATGCAACACCAAAAAAAAGTGGTCTAAAGTAACAAATTTGAGCTGGAAAACTTTAAATAAAATCATCTGGGTTAAAAACGAGTTTAGGAAACTCAATAAAACTGTGGTCTAAACTGAGCACACCATTTTTAACCACACTCTTAAAACTTTGCCTAAAGTCTAAAAGTTTGAAAAAAATTGAACCACCTAAACACTTTAATTAAGTGATTCGGTGAACAATTTAAAAACTATCGAAATGTTTTAATTAAGTTATCCAATGAGTAATTTAAAAATTATTAGAATATTTTAATTAAGTTATCTAGTATATTAAAAATTAAAAATTTGGCTACTGAAACTCTTTTGCTAAGTGTTTCGGTACATTTAAAATTAAAAATTTGTCTACCGAAACTCTTTTACCAAGTGTTCTGATACATTAAAAATTAAAAATTTATCTATCGAGACTCTTTTGCTAAGTGTTCTGGTACATTAAAAAATTAAAATTTAAAACATTTATTTCGTATCCCTACTACAATTAGACTTGTACCCCTATAATTTTTCAAAAATGTCAATTTTATCCTTCAGTGTTTTTAACTAATTTACCATTCACTTTTTATTATTCACAAAAAAATCTAAATTTTACACCCCTACCCATGCGTTCCGGAATACTTAAGATTACGATTAATTATAGGTGCTAAGTTAAGCATGTCAGCCAGTTTGTTAAGGTTACGATTAATTACAATAGCCTTATTGAGTAAACTATATGTCTACAATAAACTCTCATGAGTTAGAGTTACTTAAACTTAACTATTTCTTTAACAATCTTTCTTAAGTTGATGTGGGTGTGAGTAGAGAGAAATAATATATAATTAATTGGCCTTTGAGATTTTCAAACCTGTAGGGAACCATGATCTTGGTCATGATGTCAGCATATTGACCATGAGTTAAAGTTAATAAACTATGACAACAAAGAGGTCAAGTTCGATGTGTTTGGTATGAGCTTGTTGAAAAAGA